GTTTCATAACCCCCCAGCCACAGGTGCACAGTATTTACACAAGGCTTTAAGATGGTAGAGCCACATGGGAACGTCCCAAGTTCGCACCCCAACATCTCACTGTACACACGAGACATACACATGCCCACGAACTTTGGTAGCTTGGTCTGGATGTAGATAGCAACAAGAAGACCCTGTGAGGGAACCTGTCTTTCTCTTGTTGTATGACTGACTCTCTGAAGAAATAAAAAATAAACTCCAATGTCCCAATGACATACCGTTCCTTCAAGTAGGTGGCCTCCCTCATTTCTTCTGCCACTGCTCTGTCCACGGCACAAGTCCTGAGCTGCAGGAGAGAAACATGTCCATGTGCAGTTGTGACCAACTATGCACAGAATGAAGGAAAGAAAAGAATCTTACCCAGTTGTCATGAGTCTTTTTTTCGTAAATGATGATCTGAAAAAGAAAAGACATAGGACACAGTATGTTTAGAATTGCTAAGGGCAATTATAATCACCTCTTTCAGGTACTGGAGGATTCTGCAACTATTGAAAGAATGCAGGTTACCTGGTGTTGAAGGTGCTTCTCTTTTTTCTGCACTTGTTCTTGAATTTCTTCAGTTTTTTTCCTATAATGAACCATTATTTCCATCAGACAAAGCATGACATTGAGTATCATTTTCAATAATCATCCCATGTTCCTGTTATCCTCACAACTGCATCCTTACACAATTTATCCACAGATAGTACATGTCACATGAATGTACAGTAGGTTTAAAGTAATTGCTGTATAGATTCCTTATCCATTATGGAATTCAGCAGAGTCCCCAATAGATAAGATTTCTTAACCCATCTCAATATTTCTGTACATAAACTTCTTTTGAGAATCTTTTATCACAAAGCTCAATTATTTTTTTTTAGGATATTTCACAGGGCAATGACAACTGGGTTTATAAAATGAGACAATCACTTTTGTGGACATGATTTAGCCTACAGCAAATTGCTTTCCTAGAAATTGAGACTATTTTCAACACCCCAAGAAATACTTTTGTGAACCAATTTTGGCATCATCTAACCAGCCCTAGGGTTCAGGTAACTTTAGTAACTCAACATTATTTAGTTATTTCTGTCCCCACTCCCTCATTAGTCTTTTCTCTGTTTCTCTCTGTGTGAGAGCGTGCATGTGTGTACGAAACTTTTTTGACCATTTCTTTATATTTCTGTGTTAATTGAGTCTAATTATTTTGTAAAGATTAAAATACAAGAAAATCCAATGAGGGTTGCCTTCGACACTGATGTTCAGTATCTGAACTCACTTTAAATACAGTATTTCTTCACTAGCTGACTTCTCTTTATCTTGGGCAATTGATAACTTCTTTTCTTTCTCTTTCTGTTCACGTCGTCTCATAAATAACTTCCTAAGATGGGAAGGAAATACACATTATCCAGTAGCTCACGTGAAATTCCTAGTTATCTCTAAGGTCTCAAAAGTCCCTTCCTAAGCTCCCCTGTGACTGTACAGGATGAAAAATTCTGACAGACGGAAAAAGAAGTCTCCTAAGGAGAGACTAAGAAAAAATTAAACTCTGGTCTGAGGGAAAGTAATTGCCAAATA